ATGAAATGGCTTTTTTGGGTGGCGTCTGATTTTCAAGGCCGAATGTGAAACGCTCTTGTAAACAATAAATCCACCTTAATGGCATGTCACCTCCATCTCACCTTCCACGTCTCACCCTCACAACGAAATAACCCTACTTTAATTTTATTTTTTGAATGTATACTTGGTTACCAAACTATATGAATACTCTAAGGCATAATGTGTAGTGAGTAGAAATAATCATTTTTTAAGTCTCTTATGTCATTTCTTTGAATTGTGGATTTTTTTTTAAAGAAAAAGCAGTTTTATTCGCATAAATAAAAGAGTCTTGGTGGAAGGAATAAGTCTCCAACTCACCAGAAAAGAAATGCAGTAAATAAATAAATACAGACTAAGACAGCAGAATAAATATAACAGTGAAGAAGGCCGGCTGCCAAAGTCAAAGGACCAGGTAGCAGAAATGATAAGACGCGAAAGCAGTGCCGACTACCCAGTACAGCCTCCTAGGAAAGTGGATCAGCCCAAGAACCGCTCCTTAATCACGGTATCTCGAGCGTGTCTTTCTGTAGTTCCGCGGCGGGGATAACCCAGCCGCCTCTAAGTCCCGCTGAAAAGGCTGAAGATCGTTACCATAATATCCAACTTTGGACTTGGGCTCAAACTTATATCTTATGTCTTCCTGCTCCTCTGCCCAGATCAAGTCATCCTCCTCTTCATCTGAAAGGTCGGAATCCTCACCGTACCTACGACCATCACAATGATAGCGGACTTCATGCACATCCTCGTACGAAGGACCAGGATCCTGACAGTACGAAGGATAGTGGACACGAAAATCCCTATTCGAAGGGGTGGTGTTGGCCGAGCGGTTCAAAGTGCAGACCAGGGGAGTACGGATCGCAGGAGTGCGGGGGGTTTTCTCCCTCCTCCTCCCTAAATCAATATCAGTAGAAGCAAAGGGGAGGGCGGAGGCATCAAACTCGAAATCTTCAGCAGGCTCCTCAGGCCAGATGTCTCAAGAAACTCCAATTCCTCCAAAGTGGGCGTCAGAAGTGGGTTTAGAAGGTGGGATGCATGGGTTTTTGGATGTGGGGGATGGGCCGATGGAAATTGGGTTCGGGGTAGGGGGTGGGGAATTGGGTTGAGGGTTAATGGGGATGGGCTGTGGGATTTCGGGTATTGGGTCAGGGTTGTGGAGGTGGGCTGGTTGAGGCAGGTTGGGCTGGGGATTGGGCCAAAGGGATGGGTGTGGGTTGAGAAGGGATGTGGGCCGAGGGTGGGGTTTTAGGTTGGGGAATTTGGGCTGGGGATGGCCCGAGGGAAATGGGTTGGGATTTTGGGTGTGGGCCGGTTGGGTTTTGGGAAAGTTGGGCTTTGGGCACATAATGGGGTTTAGGAGGGATATTAGTTTTAAAGGATTTGGGCTTGGGTGCAATGGGCTTAGGCGCAGGGGCCTTTGATTGAGATTTCGGCTGGGCCAAGGTGGGTTTGGGATGGGGAATTGGGTTTTGAGGATTGGGTTTTGTATTTGGGTTAGGAGTTGGGGTAAGAGTAGGCTTCGGAAAATCCTTCAGCTTGCATCTCTCCGAGGAGTGGCCTTGCCGCCAGCAGTAATCACAATAATATGGGACTTTCTCATACACTACCGGCTGGATAAAACCACAGTCTTCTTCTCCCACAACTTCCGAGGTACCCACAAAAATTTCTTTAGGCCGAGGCTGAAGCAAATCCATTTCCACGCAAACCCGAGCTACATGGGGTTTTGCCTTAGCCAAAGTGATGCTATCAACACCCAACAATTTTCCAATGGGCTTACAGATCAAGGAAAATGCATGAAAATTGAACATGTGCAGAGGGAGACCATAAAAGGAAAGCCAAACCGGGGAAAATGAGGTCTCATACTCCGGATCAAAATCAGGTGTCCAACGGAATAAATGCATAGGATGTAACCCATTGAAAGTAATGGTGCCTTCAAGCAACATATTTGTGCAATCATGGGAGTTGGAGAACATAATAAAAACATGCTTTGAATCCCGCCATCCAACAGACACAGTCCCACGAAAGACATAATGAGTAGAAAAGTAGTGCTTAATTACCTCCAGCTTGGGTTGCCCGTGAGAGAATTTGCCAACCAAAATATATTTATCAATGCGAGCTAGTGTGCTAACCTCAGATTTCAGAAATCGGACAGCGGGCATGCCCCGATGGATAGTAACATCACGATCGGGAAGCGGTTCCATGACGGGCGTAGGAACTTTGATACGACTTGAACCTGAAACCACTTGAGCAAGGCTGGGAGTATGCTTATTGGACTTAGAAGGAGGAACTGGAGCTTCTGGAATTTTGACAGTGGCCGGCACCGCCGTCGCCGGCGGAGCTCCGGCGACCGGCGCAGAATCGGGCGGGACCAACGCCAAACGAACCGGTTTTGCATGAGGATCTCGAATACCAATACAAGGTAAAATTTCCATTTTGTTGATTGGTGGAGGCGTTGAAATTTCCATTTTTTTGAAAGTACCGCCAAGCTCCAGCCAATAAAGAAGACTCGGCATGAACCCTCTCATCAAATAGGACATGAAAGAGGTTAATAAATAGGAAAATCTCTTACCAAGGTAAATATTGTCAAATTGACTCTCCAGCCAAGTATATATGTAATATCTTTCGTTATTGTGTTGTGTTTAAATTTTAACGTGGTGGAACTCATCTACTAAAAAATAAATTTTCTACTACGTTTCTTGACCTTTTGGCTAAGATCATCAAAAACGTCTAATTGATCCTAGTGAGACTGTTCCACAATAAAATGTTTTAGTCTACAAATACATTATATGTATATATAATGTTTTTGGTATTGGGTGATTGATTTGTTTTGTTCAAAGTTTCACATGGCGGATGTGAGCGATGAAGGTAGTGGTTATATAACAGCATCGAGAAGCTCGAGCCTAAATATTCGTCTTAGATTGTATTTCAATTGTTTGGAGCTTCAAATTATATAGATCTAAGAGTTAAAATCATTTCATAATTTAAAATAAAATAATATAATAGATATAGTACATTTTTTTGATATTTTAATTTTACTTAAAGAAAAATGCAAGTGTTACTATGAACTTAAAATTTGTTTAAAATCAAAGTCATAACCCGTTGGGTCGACCCAAACCGAATGATAATGGTGATGAACATAATATAGTTCTATACTTAAACCCGCATTGACCCGAACAAGAAGTAGTATGAGCTCGAAGGAACCTGAAATTTTTAAAAAATGAAGTCATAAGCTATTGGGCCAACCCAGAGTCCGAGACCCAATTATAAGAAGAGGCTGTGGTGTTAATATTCCTTACCTTACGTCTTATTCAAGTGAATATGATGATCTTGCAAATATGTAACCTGTTCTACATTATGACAAGTCAAACAAAGCTAATACTTTGAAGATTTTTCAACTAAACAAACCATTTGAACACAACACCATTGACAAATCTTCAAAGAAAAAGTGTAGTTTTAATATTTTTAAAAAAATCAGACTTTGAACTGTTTGCTAATGCCTAATGGTTCACTCAAAGTGCTGGTTCAGCAATGGAAAGTGCACATTTACTCCCTCATTTCATCATCCTCTCCCTCTACTGCGCTGCCTCTTGCCGAATCCCGCCACAACAGAACAAGTGTGGTAATTTCACTCTGCCACAAACCCTACTAAATTACATAATGTGTTTGAGAGTTTATAAGCATACTTCCAAGTAGGGGTGAGTTTTGGATACATATCACCCTCTCCAAACCCTACTTTTGTGGGGTTTTACTGGGATTGTCGTTCTTTTTTATGGAAGTGGGCATTCAAGTTTGGGTGCAATGAGATATTGAAAGTACTTATCAGAGGTTGAGGTTTCAATGCCTTTGGTCCATTTCGTATCCCCACTCTTGTGACGAATAACCTGCGATTCATTGGCAATAGCTTTGGAGTAAGTCTGGTGACGAGTATCCTGCTTTAGCAATTTGAAAAGGTTATGTAAGTGTACTTCTAGCGTGTTCAAAATTAATTGTCATGTTAAGGAAGTTGTTAGCGGATGAAGCTTCTTTTTACTTTTTTGGGACGGCCATTAGTTCCATAAACCCATTGAAGAAAGTGATATCTTGGAATCTGTAAGCAATGTTCCCTTCAATCCTTTCCTGATTTTCAGAGCCATTACATCAAATAATACAAAATGGCGATTATTAGATTCGTTACAGACCTGTAATGTGGTAGGACTGAGAAGTAGACACCTGTGAGTAACGGTCACCCTTTTACCCAAATCTAGGGACTGAGCAAACCTTTATGGATGTTTGTACAAAGTTTTTGTAGCCCAAGTGGCGGTCGGCGGAAACCTAGCCGAGGAGAAATCTAGAGGGAGAGAGCATTATATATATATATATATATATATATATATATATATATATATATATATATAAGAGGTAAAATCATTTCATAATTTAAGAGGTAAAATCATTTCATAGTTTAAAATAAAATAATATAATAGATATAGTACATTTTTTTTTGATATTTTAATTTTACTTAAAGAAAAATGCAAGTGTTAATATGAACTTAAATTTTGTTTAAAATCAAAGTTTTAACCCGTTGGGTCGACCCAAACCGAATGATAATGGTGATGAACATATAGTTCTCTACTTGAACCCACATTGACCCGAACATGAAGTAGTATGAACCCGAAGTAACCTGAAATTTTAAAAAATGAAGTCATCAGTTTTTGGGCCAACCCAGAGTCCGAGACCCAATTATAAGAGGAGGCTGTGGTGTTAATATTCCTTACCTTACGTCTTATACAAGTGAATATGATGTGATGATCTTGCAAATATTCAACTAAACAAACCATTTGAACACAACACCAATGGCAAATCTTCAAAGAAAAAGTGTAGTTTTAATATTTTAAAAAAAATCAGACTTTGAACTGTTCGCTAATGAGTCAAATGAAGAGTCCACTTTTTAAAAAGCAAAAAAATAATATTAAAGAACACACCTTTTGTTTTTCAAAACCCAAAAACCCTGGCTTACTGGGCAATAGATGTTCTAACACTGTCAAGGCTGCAAACACGCCCCTGGGATGTATTCCCTGCCAAATTAAAACTAAGATTAATTAGCCACCAAAATGTCCTTAACCATGAACAATGGTCACTCAGAATGGAATAACTTTTAACATTTTGTTTAGAATCAAAGTTTTAACCCGTTGGGTCGACCCAGACCAAATGATAATGGTGATGAACATATAGTTCTCTACTTGAACCCACATTGACCCGAACATGAAGTAGTATGAACCCGAAGTAACCTGAAATTTTTAAAAATGAAGTCATTAGTTGTTGGGCCAAGCCAGAGTCCGAGACCCAATTATAAGAGGAGGTTGTGGTGCTAATATTCCTTACCTTACATCTTATTCAAGTGAATATGATGATCTTGCAAATATGTAACCTGTTTTACATTATGACAAGTCAAACAAAGCTAATACTTTGAAGATTTTTCGACTAAACAAACCATTTGAACACAACACCAATGACAAATCTTCAAAGAAAAAGTGTAGTTTTAATATTTTAAAAAAATCAGACTTTGAACTGTTTGATAATGCCTAATGGTTCACTCAAAGTGCTGGTTCAGCAATGAAAAGTGCACATCTACTCCCTCATTTCATCATCCTCTCTCTCTACTGCGCTGCCTCTTGCTGAATCCCGCCACAACAGAACAAGTGTGGTAATTTCACTCTGCCACAAACCCTACTAAATTACATAATGTGTTTGAGAGTTTATAGGCATACTTCCAAGTAGGGGTGAGTTTTGGATACATATCACCTTCTCCAAACCCTACTTTCGTGGGGTTTTACTGGGATTGTCGTTCTTATTTTTTATGGCAGTGGGCATTCAAGTTTGGGTGCAATGAGCTATTGAAAGTACTTATCAGAGGTTGAGGTTTCAATGCCTTTGGTCCATTTTGTATCCCCCCTCTTGTGACGAATAACCTGCGATTCATTGGCAATAGCTTTGGAGTAAGTCTGGTGATGAGTAACCTGCTTTAGCAATTTGAAAAGGTTATGAAAGTG